GGGGGGGGGGGGGGGGGGGGGCGTACTCATTTGTTGCTTGCCGTAGTCATTTGACCATTGACCACGCGTCCCTTTCGAGACGGAGCACCGTTCCTACACCTACTAGAGACACCACCAACATTTGGGAGCTCTTTACGTTTCTGCCACAAACTCCATAAAAATTTCTTGCACATCTTATCCCCGTCCTCTAGGGCCTCTTGTGCCCACCATCTATCCCCAATTATCGCGATCGTTTTTTCGCTGTTGTCTAATTTACCAAACTTGTCCATGTCACACCCTCTCTGTCTCATTTCCTCCTCGAGATCCTCTCTTTCCTTCCTGTACAACTCACACTCCCCAACTATGTGGGGTCTACTCTCCTCCGATTTGCCACATGGACATGTGTGTCTATCCTCCTCTTCCTCTCTCCTACGGCTGGTATACCTCTTCCTCCGTTCTGGCAAGTCCAGATCGCCTACTCGAAATTGCAATTTCAGCTTTTTCGCATAGTCCATGGGGCCGTCCAAGTACTTCTTCATCCCTATCCCTTCTTTCAACTTCCCGTATATCTCCAAGTGGTCTTCGCTTCGTACCTTCTTGCGAAGGGTTGTCTCCTCCCTACTCTCTAGCATCTCCTTGACTTTCGTCTTGAACCCCCCGAACCCTTCCGTGTCCAACGTCTCCTCCTCGTCTCCTATCTCCTTCCAAACCTTCTCTACCACCTTGTCCCATCTGATTCCCTTCTTCCCTGGAGTCGCTTTTCCCCAAGCTGCCTCGTCAACCATGGCTGGTAGTCTATCGTCCGACATTCTACTTACCTTGTACTGCCACTTCAACTTCTGCATGTCTCTCTTTGTTTTAAGAGAGTACATTCCCAATTCTGCTCTCAATACAGTGTTGCTCGTTGTGCTTGAACATCCTAGTATTTTCTTGGCCGCTGCCATCTGCACCGTTTCCAGCTGCTTGACGGCCTTTTCGTTACCTTCCCATATCTCTCCTGCATACTCTAGCTTAGGTACAATCACCTTCAAGAGAATACACCTCTTAATCCTAGTGTCTAGGTGTGGGTCCGTAAGGATCTCATCCATCTTGCCTATGTGAGCTTTACCCTTCCCAATCAACTTCGCTATGTGTGCGTCCCATGAGCACTCCTTCGAAATCTCTACTCCCAGGTACGTATACTTGTCTACTACCGGTAGTTCTTCCTCCCCCCATTTCCATTTGAATTCTACGGGATTTTTCTTATCTTCGTTACAGACCACTACTGCGCATTTTCCTACGTTCGCCGACAGTCTCCATTTTCGGGTGTATCCTACCGCCGCATCTATTTGTTCTTGCAACCCTTCTGGTGTTTCGGATACCCCCACGAAATCATCTGCAAACATCAGTCCGGACACACTCTTTCCCTCTACTTGGACTCCCTGTCTTACTGCTTCAACCGCCCTTATCAAATCGTTGATGTAAATCTTAAAAAGAGTGGGTGACATCCTAC